TTTTTTGTGAACTGGGGATTGAACTCAGGCCCTTGCACTTTCCAGGGAAGCACTTATTCCACTGAACCATCTCCCCAACCCCTTCTTTAATTTTTTTTACAGTATGTAAAAGTTACCCGCCCTGTATTGGATTTGTTAAATAGAATTGCCATAAACCTTAGAGAAAGTAATTTTGTTTTAAAAAATAGGATCTCAGTATATAGTTCAGGCTGGCCTTCTGAGTCTCATAGTTGGGCGTGGTGGTACGTGCCTATAATCCCAGCACTGGGCAGTGGTGGTGCAGAGGCAGTAGAATCACTGAGTTCAAGGCCAGCTAGGCTACATAATGAGACCTTGTCTCAAAAAAAAAAAAAGAAAAAAAAATCTCAGAGTGCAGATTTGATAATTGTTACTGAATAATTATGATATCTATGTATGTATGCATATGCAGTTTTTATTCTCTGAGTTCTCTTATGCCCCTGACTTTGGCTATTTTCAGACTGCTTGTTTTTCCAGATGATCATTTGATATCTTCTTCCCCATTCTGCAGGTTCTGGAGGTTGAGCCTTGGCCCTTGTATTGAGCTAAATCCCCAGGTTCACTCCCACCCCTGACCCCAGTCAGGGTTGTGATAAATTGCCTAAACTGAGATCAAACTTAGAATACTGCCCAACCTCACAGAGTGCTGGGGTTAGATGCGTATTTTACTACACTGCCTGTAAATACCAGTTCTGTGTTGAAATTCTTTATTTTAAAATTCATATTGCTTTCTTCCTTCTGTTTTCTTTAACATACTAGTCATAGTCATTCTAAAGTGACAACCTGGGTTCCACCCTCAGCACCACAAACAAGAAAAAATACTTCCTTTAGATCAGTGACACAGATTCAAGAAATGCAAATTAAAACAATGCTGCGATTCCATCTCACCCCAGAAAAAATGGCTATTATCAAGAAGTCAGCCAGTAACAAATGCTGGAGAGGCTATGGGGTAAAAGGAACCCTTCTCCACTGTTGGTGGGAGTGCAGATTGGTACAACTACTGTGGAAATCTGTGTTGAGACTGCTCAAAATACTAGGATTAGAAGTCTTATTCAACCCAGTTATTGCCCTTCTAGGTACTTTTCCAAGTGAACTGAAAACATCATACCACAGTGATTTGTGTGCACCCATGTTCATAGCAGTGCAATTTGTCATAGTTAAATCTTGGGTACAAGATTTAATGTGCCCCAAATGTGACCATTGCCTATTACTCAGCTATAAAAAAAGATAAACTTGAGGCTTTTATAGATTAATGGATGCAACTAGAGATCATAATCATAAGTGAAATAAACCATTTGCAAATATCCTGTTGTCTTGCTAGTGTGAGAACCTGAAAGAATAAATAAAATCTACGATAAAGTAAAAGTTAAAAGTAAAAAGTTACGATAGATACTGTGAAAAGGAAAGCATCTGTTCAATCAGAAGGAAAAATTGGGATGAAAAGGACAAAAGAAGGAAAAAAGATAAATTTATGTGTGTATGCAAGATGGCTTGGATAATGGTACTACTGATTTCTGCTGGTCTATTGAATAGTTAATGCTTAATTTTTTCTTTTTAATTTCTTATAATTTTTTTCAAACCAATTTTGCATGTTTATATCTGGTAATCTAAATAACTTATTTGATGATAGCATGTAATACACCAACCATTGTTGAATCCCTGTTTTGTTTAGTGAAATTCTGTATCATTTTTTTTTCCTCACCATTTTGTACTCTTTTTTTTTTTGAAAAAAAGTAGATCAGTGAGGGCCAGCCAGGTAGTTCAGCAGACTAAAAGACACGCTTAGGCAGAGTGCTGCAGCTGGACTTCAATCTCTGGCATGCCATGCTGGGCCTGCCCCTGGGGTACACAGTGATTGAGATTAGGTGTGGTAGCACACGCCTATAACCCTAGCACTTGGGAGGCTGAAAACAGGAGAATCACTGTGAGTCTGATCTACATAGTGAGACCCTGTAGACCCTGTACTAAATACATTTAAAGAAAAAAAAAAAAAATCAGTGACACAGATATAATTTGAAATTATTTGCAGTAGGATCGCAGGGGAGGGGCACAGGAAAAGTAGTCCCATCATTCCCTCCCTCCACCTCCTTCCCAGGTGAAAAGGACTCACAGAGTTGATTCTTACTTGGAAAAGGTATTGCTGAAGCCTGATCCAGCCATAAATTTAGTTTAACAAGGTGGGACAGACATGAAGGAATTGTGAGTGCAGATACCTTACTCTGGCTCAGAAATTTGGAGGTCAGGGAAGGGCCTGTTTCATTTCCTTTTGTTTGGTTTTGTTCTGTTTAAGGAAAGCAGCTCAATTTGAAGGATTGAAAGGAGGATTTCTTCTTGCCAGTCTCTGTGGGGAGCCTCTTCCTTAGTCCCTCCCTGATCTGAGCACCCCTGCTTACTGACTTGGGGACATTCCTGGGGCTTATTGTGTTTGGTAGGGCCACTCTGTTTTTTCATTTTTAGTGACCTTCTAAAGGGGAGAAGGGTATGAGGGTTTCAGCTGGTGAAACTGTGGTCTGCTGCTTCGCACGTACTTAGCTCTGAGGAACCTTGGAGCTCTGCTTATGCTAGGGTTCGTTCAATGTGGTTCAGAGGTAGAGAGTATTTCTTTTCTTTCTTTTTTTTTTTTTTTGTAGAACCTGGGATTGAACTCAGGGCCTTAAGCTTGCAAGGCAAGCAGTTATTCTACTGAGCCATCTCCCCAGCCCCCTAGAGAGTATTTCTGACAGCCTTCTGAGTGTACCTATGTGCTACCACTCTGAAAAGTTGTTACTCTACATGATGAATGGTGCTGTAGTAGCCCAGCTGGGTTCATGGTACTGTGTGTTAATTTAAAAAGAATGTGGGTGGGATTCATCCTTTCTGTGAACCAGTGCTCCAGTTGTTTCTTCACAGAATGTTACATCTCTATTGTTTTAATTTTTTTATTGCACATTCTCATGTAAAGGTCTTATACATTCTACAATCCATTCCTGGGTATGGGGTGATGCTATCTTTATTACTGTTATTATTTTTTTGAACTCAGGGCCTTGTGCTTGCTAGGCAGGCACTCATGCCACTGAGCTATATCCCTGACACCTAGGAAGATGCTATTATGAAAGGTATTATTTCCCGTATTTATCTCTCAGTGAGATTGTTATTTGTGTATAGGAAGGGTATTGATTTTTAAGTGTTGACTTTGTATCCAGCTACACTATTAAATTTTATTATTAAATCTGGATCTTATGATGAAGTTTTTGGAGTCTTCTATGCAGTTGTTTGGTTTTTGTTGTTGTTGTTTATATTTTAGTGTTCACGAAATAGAGCTACAAAAGTTTTTTGTATATGTTGCTGATTGGAAGAGTTTTATGAGTGAAATTTGCAAGGCAAATAAACTGTAACTTTAGACAAAACAGATAGCGATAATTGAACTTGCCTGGCTGGTGTTCACAGAGCTCTGTGCAGCCTTGCAGGTGGGCCAAGGGCAACAGCACCGGCTGAGGTATCAGGAAGAGTGCTGACCAGGAGCTGTCTGCATTTCACAAACTTACATCTCCCTAAAACAAGTGGACAGACAAAAGTATTTTCCTCTTTAATAATACTTGCCATAATTCAGAACTTTCTTTTCTTTCAGAAAACTGAAGAATGGGAAAAAAATAAGACTGAAGCAGACATGGAAGAGTATATATGGGAAAATAGCTCCTCAGAAAAAAATATTCTGGAAACACTTCTCCAGATTAGCACTGCTGAGAACAAAATGCCAGTAAATAAAGAAGAGCTGCTGGGTACTAAAGAAGTTGAAGATTACCAGAAGTCTGTTGTTAGTCTTAAGAATGAGGGGGAAAATGAAATTACCCTTTCTCAGTATAAAGAGTCAGTGAAAAGACTCTTAAATTTAACATGAGTGAAGTGGAAAGATCTGTTTTATTAATTTTACAGTACAGATAATCAATATTTAATTTGATGTAAAGTGAAAATGATTGAAGATCAATTCTTACACAAGAGTTAATTTTAAAATTACCTGTAATCATCTAATGTGCCGTGACTAATTCAAAGTTTTCTGATCTAAATACTGAGACAAATTAAAGATCTTCAAGATTTCTCAGGTTCGAAAGTGTTCTGAGTTTGTTTCTACATGACAATTTTAATAGTCATATATTTACATGTGTTTAATATGATTTTGTCAGCATTCTAGGAGACTGATGCAGAAGAATCATGAGCAACTTACTGACTTAGCAAGACTGACTCAAAATTAAATAAAAAAAGGTGAGGAAAAAAATTTTTAATTTAAATAAGAAAAAAAATTTAAATAAGGAGTGAGGTTGCAGCTCAGTAAAGCCCTAGGTTCAGTTCCCAGTACCATGTACACAAAGGATTTGCTTATAAAAGCTTACAAGTTTGTATAGGAGAAAAATACACCCTAAGGTACAAATAAAGAAGGGTTTGTTGTGTTTTAGAAGGGTGGAAATAGTGAAAGAAAGTGCATATAGAACTTAAATGCTTTTTAAATCATGTTTAGAGTATACTTTAAGAAATCCAGCAGTCTGAAAGACTGAGGGGGAGAATGAAATTACCCGTTGGGTAATTTAGCAAGACCGTGTTGACACTTGCTAAGCACTAGAAAAAGCTGAAGCAGGAGGATAATGCCATCCTGAACTATAGCAAGATCTCTCTCTCTCTCTTTTTTTTGGTGGAACTGGGGATTGAACTCAGGCCCTTGTGCTTGCCAGGGAAGCGCTTATTCTACTGAGCTATCTCCCCGGGGCCCCGAGATCTTCTCTTTCAAAACAAAACAAAACAAAACAAAACAAAAAAAAAATTCCAATATTTAGAAAATGGGCAGCGAATGTAAGTCAATGTGAGGGTCCTGATTTCAGGGAAGTGCTCCCCAGTCTTTTTTTTTTCAAAACCAGGGATTGAACTCAGGCCCTTGCGCTTGTCAGGGAAGCACTTATTCCACCAAGCCATCATCCTGGCCCCCAAGGGTCCTGATTTCAATCCCCAGGAAACCCCCCCCCCCACCACACATAGTATATCAGTACATTTGGAGAAAAGGGGAACAGAAGCAAGATTGGAAGAAATATATTAAAAACAAATTGAAGAGATGGTCTTTTTTTTTTTTTTTAACATTTATTTATTTAGAATGTGTGTGTGTGTGTGTGTCCAGCTCAGCCCACCAGGGGGCGGAGCCAGCTGGCATGTGGTGCTGGGGGATCAAACCGCGGTCCCTGTGCTTTGTCAAGCTTGTTCCAATAGGTGCTTTAGACCACTGAGCCATCTCGCCAGCCCGAGATGGTCATTTGAGAACATAAGATGTTGAAGTTAGGAAAGTCCATCTTGTGTAATGCAAAGGGCATAGTGTTGTACAGTAAAGAATTCAGCCTTGCTGGGTATGATGGTGCATACTTGTTAGCCCAGTACTCTGGAAAGTTTAGGCAGGAGGATCACAATTTCAACCCAGCCTGAGCAAACAATCAATGTAGCAAGATCTTGTGGGCACTCAGTATAAAAGCACTGGATTTAATCCCAACTGGGACTTCCCCTCCATTCTTTTTTTTCTCCTTGACTCTGGCCAAAGATAGATCCAGCCTTTGATGTCAGCCACTGGAAGCTAATGTATGTCATAGTTCTTTGTTAAAGGAGAGTGCTAGTTCCAAAAGACATGAAGCTAGGACCAACCTTGCTATAAAAGCCAATAGTGTGATTGAGAGTGATGTTTTGAGGTCCCATGGTGTCAGTCTGCCCTGCAGCTGAGATGGTACCCAGGTCATACTTATGTAGTGGAGCCCCAGTAAAACTTTGGGCATAAGGCTCAGGTAGGCTTCTCTGGTTGACAATGTTTTGTTTAATTTCTACACATTGAATAGTAATGTGTTCCCCTCCAGTGAGAGGACCATAGAGTTGACCCATTCGGAAATGTTCTGGATTTAAGGCTCTGTATCTTTCCCTTGGGTGGTTTTAATTTGTATGTGTCCCCTGTAATAATACCTTTCATTAATTTCTTGGGTGCTAGTGAATTACCAAACCCAGTTTGATTTTTACAAACATCCACACTTACAGTTAATGTCAGAAGAACAGGCAGCCTCCTTTACATTACAGTTTGACCAATTGTAACTGACCTGAACACTTAGGTGAAGTCATTGATACTGAATACCAAAACTTAAGAAACTTAGATTAATACAAAGCTGCTTCAAAAAGATAATTGCTAACTTTACAGTGTTAGTAATAATTGACCAAGACTATATTCTTATCCTTTAAGTGACCCAATACATAAAATATTTTCATCATTTTATGAGGTATTCTTGCTATATTAGTTATATAGTTTTATTTTTTGTTTTATGTTTTGGTATGAGGAATTGAACTCATGACCTTGGGCTTGCTAGGTGGATGCTGTGCCAGTGAGCTATATCCCTGACTGTGCAGTCAAACTGAACTCAAAATTGTAGAGCTGAGAAGCTGCCTAAATAGGCAACTAAGGTATATCAAAAGTTTGTTTGGTTTTAGTTTTTCATGACAGGATCTCACAACATAGTCCAACCTGGCCTTGAACACTCTATACAGCCAGGCTGATCTCAAATTCAGTGATCCTCCTCCCCCAACATCCCAAGTGTGTACCACTATGTCCAGCTGCAAATCTGTTTTTTCTTGTTGTTTGTTTGTGTTTTGTATTTTAGGGAAGGATCTACAGGGTGTTCAGGGTCTCGCTACTAGATCGAACTCATAGTGATCTGCCTGTTTACAGCCTCCCAAGTGCTGGGATTACAAGTGTTTGCCACACTATTTGGCCGGTCTGTCTCTCTGTCTCTCTGTCTGTGTCTGTGTCTGTGTCTGTGTCTGTGTCTGTGTCTGTGTCTGTGTCTGTGTCTGTGTCTGTGTCTGTGTCTGTGTCTGTGTCTGTCTGTCTGTCTCTCTCCCCCCCTCTGTCCCTCTGTCTCTCTCTCTCTGTCTGTCTGTCTCTGTCTCTCCCTCCCTCCCTCACCTCTCTCCCTTCCCCTCTTCCTTACCTCCTCCCCCCTCCTCTCTCTTTGTTTTTCTGTCTGTCTGTCTGTCTGTCTGTCTGTCTGTCTGTCTGTCTGTCTTTTCAAGATGGGGTCTTTCTATGCAGTTCAAGCAGGCTCTCCTTGAACTCACCTGGTAGCCCAGGCTGGTCTCAAATTTGCACTGATCATCCTGCCTCAACCTCCTGGTGGTTGGGCCACCATGCCTGGCCTTTCATGTGTATTTTCATTCCAGTACTGATATTTCAAAACACTGGAAAGTTAAAGTCTTAAAAGTTCTGGCAAATTGTAATGTGGGAAAATGACTGTGTCCTAAGAAGTAATAATTTATCCTTAATTATTAACTGGGCCATCAGGTTTTTTATTTTTCTTAATAAAATTTTATTTATCATTTATGGCAGGAGGGATTGAGCTCATGGCCTTTGTACTAACTTACATCATCACACCTCTTTTAAAACTTCATTTGTTCTGGGGTTTACAACTTGATTATACTGGAAAGACTTTGTTGCTAAAATAGAAACCTTGTTTCTATCTCTTTTTCCAGTGCTGCACTTTAGGTGTGTATAACTATATAGGTCTTACCTTTGTCACAATTTGCCAACCACTTCTATTAACTTGGGATTGGAGGCTGCAGTGTAATTAGCCAAGAACTTAGTCTCTCAGAGTGGGGAGCAGTATTGTTAATGACACAAAAGTAATCTGGATATTGACATAAAAAGAAAACCAATTAATAGTAACAACCATACCTCCCTTCCCATAGCAACAAAAACAGCAACAAGAGCATCAAAGACAAACTGTTTACATGTAAACCAATAATATATATATATATTTCAGAAGTTGTTCCCTTAGGCAAGCCTTACTATAAAAAAGAGATCTGTAGATGGTATAAGCAGACCAAATATTTACCAACTGTGTCTACTAAATGCAACAACTATACCTTCAGTAGCAATATAATTTAGTTAACATGGTATTTGTTAACTACAGTATATCTAAGATTGACAAAGTTTAATGGTTATACTAATAAAAATGGAATGGGGAAAGAGGACCATCAAAGTTAATGGATAGACAAGCAACTTCTGAGAAGATGGCAGAGTGGTGAGCAGCAGAGAAAGAGCCTCTCCAACATGTAATGTACAAATACTGGAATATAGCAATGTGAGAAAGAAGGAAGGAGGGAAGTGGGTCTCCAAGACCCAATAAGGATCTGAAGTGAAAACTGAATCCCGCTGAGAGAGCAAACAGAAAGTTGAAGAATGAGGAGGCAGGCAGTGCTTTCCCCCTGAGCCTGGACTCGTATGAGAGGGGCAGCTTGAACCTGCAGACACGTGCTGGCCACTGTCTGCCCCTTAGGCTTCCAGGGAGAAGCTCACTATAGGAGCAGATCAATGGACGCAGCAGACTGTAGTGTGCTGCAGTGGTTGGTGAGTTGTCCCATTCTGACTTTCCACACGAAAGGGAAATCAGCCAGACACCATCTTAGAGAAAGGCCATCTGAGCTTTGGATTCCAGTGGCTGCTAGCTCCAACTAGTGGCTCACAGCTAAGTTCAAGCCTGCAGTAGGGGCAGAGAGCACCAGGCTGGGCAATTATGATTCCACCCTGGAAGTCAGAGGCCAGTCTAAACTTCTGTGGGTGCAAGCTCACAGATCATCCCTACCCCTCTGAGGAGCTGCTGCTACTTTGCTGGGATTGATTGATGTGGATTTGGACCCTGTCTGCCTATATTGTCTACCAGCAGTAGAAGAGACATTCCTTGAAGTGAATTTTTTTTTTTTTTTTTT